TGTGACAGGGAAAGCATGATAGAAGGATATAGGAAATGTGAATAGGCCAGTGCAGAAGGTGAGATACCATAACTGTTTAGCACACGTTTGGTCAAAGGATGGGCTTGACTTGTCCATTTGACGAGTTGTAATATGGTGCTACGAATGGCCAGACTCACTGACGATGCCGACTACGATGCCGGCGAAACGTTTGAGAATGTGCTGCGTCCACGGTCCGACTTTGGAAATAATTATGCATAAAATGGACTCAGGACAAGGTTCGTTCCTATAAGTCTTCCTACCAATATGACCAAGTTGCGAAAACGAGGTCAAACAACTTCTCACAATTTTTAGTTTAACTTAGCATAACGATTTAGAGCTTGGACACCACCTACTGGAGTTGGGTGTTTTAATTGTGATTCGATTGTTAAATACCTTTTGTCATCCATAGTTATGGAGCAGATTAGAATTACCCCTAATTTACTCCATACAAACCCTTTGGTGGGGTTAATAAATATACTAAATGAAGTGAACAATTTTACAGTAACAAAATAAGAATAAAATCTTTAAAATATTGAATGTAAGCGTCTAAATTATCTACATAAATCATGAGAGTACAGATTTTTGACATATCTGATTAAATATAAATATTTTAAAAAATAAAATAAAATAAAAATATTGGTAGAATGGGTGTCAGAATCAAACAGCTTTGGCTTGCCTCATAATTGACGTGCCGGCTAGTTCCATGTATTACGCAATCCACTTTTGTATATGGCTTCCTATTTGAAAGGGGTTGGGATTCTGCATCTCGACCACTAATTGGAGGAGGCTGCCCTGACAAGAGGCTATTTGCAGTTACAGAAGAGGAAGATGGATCAGGCTTTGAGGTGAATGCGGAAGAAGTGTACGAAGCAGCCTCATGGTGCTGTTTATTGAGTAGAACAGGACAAGGCTCAACATTAATCCACTCAGAAAGCCCAGAAGTATTAATGGATTCAATTTCTCCACTTCCAGAGCCTGATTTATATCGAGCTGGGATCTCACGATATCGAATCAAGATCTTATCTACCTCGGACAAAGCATATGTAAAGGGACAGGGGTCATTGAGCACTACACTGAAGGTGATACTGCCGTCGAATTTCTGTTCGAGATTTATAGGCTGTAGCAAAAAATGGGAGATTAGGAAGCATTGTTGAGAAGAGAAATGATAAAAGCATTTAGATGAAAGACCAATGGCTATGAGTGAAATCATAATGGGAGAGTTGGAAAGTCATATATTAAATTAGCCGAAGATGGGGAGGACTATTTGACTCATAAAGTTCTAAGATAAGTACTTCAACACACAAAAAACTTCAAATTGTTCAAGTCAATATATACTTTGAAAATAGATTATAGTAATTTATTGGGACTTGTAATAGAGATATTGACCAGCTCAAATCTTAAGTAGACATCCATAATTTTCATCATAAGACCAAAATCCTTATGGCATTCATCCCAAAAAGTGTATTACAAATGAGGATAAAATGAAATAAACAATATGAAAAATGAAATCTTGCGTCCAACTTACTATATTATGGGGAAATTTACTGTTGGTTTAAACTATCCTTAAATATAAATTAAGATGGAAACTATAATTGGCTTTGGTGATCAAGGACTATATATTTTTAGCTGCTAACAATGAAGCAGTGAGGTTTTACTGTACAATCGAATTGAATACACTTTGTTTTCCAAACAAAAGTCGAATGTGCTTAGTCGCAAAATTCCCCTCGGCCTGTGTGACTGACCGGTAACATATAGATACTAAGAGTTGCATAAGTTATTAGATCTTTCCAGTTCTGTAATAGGCAATTTTAGCTCCGTTTTAAACTTTCCAATTTACATATTTAATAAGAATTGAGGGTTCAATAGTTGCTAGAACGAAGAAAAACTTAAAATAAATTCGCTGTACAAGTTTAAACAGTTACATCACTTTCAAACATCGTAGCTCCTGGTCAATGGAAAATGAAAATATTGAAAACAGAATAAAGCTAAAAACTATAATTCGCATAATAGAACTTTGGTATATTGAGAAGTAAAAGTTCATTGATGAGATGTACTTACCCTATTTCATTTAGGTTGATAAAGGATTAGGGTGATTACATTTCATATAAACGATTTACTGGTAGTCTCGAAAATCTACTATGAACCAAGCAAAGTTCAGTGAGCCTAACCAACCCACTAGAATATGTAAAAGGTAAACATGATAATAGCCCAAATTTTATATTAAATACGAAAACAAGTAAATGTAAAATATGTAGATATGGACATCATTGTAGAAAAATAGGCTTACTATTGGTGTTGGCATTTCATTGGCCATTTTAGTTTTGTTTTCGAGGATAATAGACTTGCTCAAACCGAATTTGTTGCTCGAAGCCCATTCAAACTTGTAGTGCTGGTTAGCGAGCAACTTCTTGACCACAACATGAAAAGGAACGCCAGCTGTAGAGCCGTGTTGCTTCGAATGGTTTCCAGGGTTTTGTCCATATTCGTCCAAGATCACAGTGTAATTGTAAGGATGGCGGTTACCTGCTGGTGAAGGCTGATAAGAATCAATGAGGGAGATATGGTGGGAAATTTACAGAGACATATTAAAAAATGCATGATTGAAAAGTGATGCTATGCGAAGTTTATTTAACTATGTCTTGTAAAAATTGATTCTTTTGCTCATATACACTTATATCTTTTCAAGATAATCCTGTTTCAAAGAATATTCGTGTTAATTTGCAAAATTAGTGAGTTATGCTTTACTCATATTGTTATAAAATGACTGGTGTCACAACCTGTACAAGGCACTCGCTTTGGATCTGGAAAACTGTAGAAAATATACCAGCAACTCATGCATGCTGAGCTTCTAGCCAATCGCTATTTGGCACATGAGATTGTTGAATGTATGTTCCAAAAAGCCTTTTGATTAACTAGTTAGATCTAGTCAGCATCTACTCCAAAGTTCTTCACAAATTCAAGCAAAGTGATAAATACTGGCAAATGTATTGAATAATGCAAGCTTCACCATCTTTGTTTCAACTCTAATAAGCCTTTCAGAGTTTAACCCCGTTTCCCTACTCTATTCACATATAAGTTTGGTTTAATTTGTGAGCAAAATGAAATAAAATGTCAAACTGATATGCGATAACTCGCTTCACCTATTTCGATTAATTTCTGAGCTTATAAAGGCCAATCAAGTAAACCCCTCTTAAGGATTGAGAAGGGGAAAAAAATACATTCTAGATAGATTAATGAAATTCGATACTTGGTGTAACGGCAACAAGGGCACAACGATCAAAGAGACCTTAGAAGATAGAGCTTAATTTATCTTTTATAATGATGGATGTTTTCTATTGTTTGAATAGTAAATATTATGAGAGTAAACTGGCTGAACAGGATAAGTACCGAGTTCGGCGTTGATCATACGACAATAATGAATTATGTTGCACTACAAACTAAGGTACTGAGGAAAGTAGCGGGGCTTTTTATGCTAATCTCAATACTAATCATAAAATTACGTGTCTCCTTGACGCTTTTTGCATTTGAAGTATTAAGAGATAGTTCGCCCTTCCTGCACAAATGGTTACTATCAAAAGAATCCAAGTAAATCGAAGTCAAAATCACAAGTGTCTTAAAACTAATTGCCATCATATTTCACTCGAATGAGTAGTAACGCATTCATAATACATTATTATCAATATTTTTAAATTCTTATCTTAGAGGCTTTAGAAATTAGGCTATGGAAATTGTTTCTAAAATGTTTACTATAAAGCTAACTAGTTTCATATGATAGTGTGGTTCATTGATGGTTTCGAATAATGGTTTGCTTTCGTTTATTCTATTTTTAATTAGTTTTCTCTCAAATATGAAGAAATTGTAAGGAATTTATTAGATTTTTTGATGTCAATGGGGAAAAACAGCTTGCAGAGAAACATCTACAGAGATCTTGCTTTCCAAGTATTCCTTTTGAAGATTTCAACAGAAAAGGTAGTTAGTTCCAATTTATCTATTACTACAAATTTTTTATATCACTAATTGAATAACTTAAATGTTGGGGTAAAAATATTTTTCTTATTCGTCCAATTTTTCAAAAGTTGCATTTTCGTCAATAAAAATATAGCAATAATTACTCTTATTCCTAGGACTAAACAAAAGTTGAGACAGCCACAGGATATGTTTTCATCGTACTGTGATTCAAAAGAATTGATGAATATAAGCATCAAGATCAGTTCTCTTAAAACAATTTAAAAATATTGAAAAGCTCTCCGTTTACTCAATTCCCTTCTAAATCAGCTAAAAATATATTCTTGAATAAGTTGCTGGACTTTACCAATGGAATCCATAATGGCTTTTCTGCTAATAGACTATTGTGAAGGGGTTAAAAGAGTGTCTAGCCCTTGACAGAAAGCGCACAGCCCCTGTTGCTTTGGCCTAATAACACTTACTAAGCGGTTAATGTGTTAACAATCTAGTTCATGATTCATAGGCAAACTTGTGCTATTCAGATGCCTCCGTTGAAGTCCATCTAGTGTAGATATTAAGAAATTAACTTCATTTTATGTTGGAATGCAACACTCGTAAAGTAGCAATTATGTAATAAACGTTCTCAGGAAGTACTGGATACCCACTAAGCTTGATAGCTGAGTTTGCTTTCTTGACACGATAGGGTCATAAACTAACAACGTTATATGCTTTGGATGAACAAACTTGAACAAGGTTTGATTTAGGTAAATAATCATTTTTTTATTAACGACATCAACAAGAAAAATGTTCAACTACTCAAAAATGATACGGCTTTCAAAATTTTTGGTGTTGCTTGTGCTGTCCGGGCAGATCGACGCCGCCTGTCTTGGGTATATAGGATGACACTCGCCAATCCTATCGAAATAAGAAACTGGAATTTCTTTGAAGATATGAAGACGAAGATGTTGTGGCGTCTGGTAGAGGCACTCTCCTTTCGATTTATAGAAGTGAGTTGACCTCGTTATCGCAATTTGGTCTTGTTGTCAAGGGGACTTAGTAGAACGCATCTAGTCCGAAGTCGTCTGCCATAGTAGTTGTCATGATTCCCAGCATCAGAGAGTGGCCTTGGTACATTCTCAGACGTTTCGCCGGCATCATAATCGGCATCATCAGTGAGTTTTTTCATTCTCTGCATCAAGCTACGAACTCTTCAACAAGGCAAGTGAAGTCAATCCCTTGACAAACGTTCTGCCGAAAACGATACACTATCACTCCTTTTTCTGTCCTGGTCCATCTATAAACTCTTTACCATCTTATAAAACTCCTGCTCTATCCCAACTTCTGACTCGTCAAAATATGTGACCTTTTGTGGCAAATCTAGTGTGGTCCCATCACACTTGCTATTTACCCC